ACAGGCACGAGTTCTAAGCCTGGCACTTGCAGTCCAAACAAATTATATACGGACTATAAACTAATTAAATAAAATTCGATTATTTCGAAAGACCACTGATGAAGAGTACTTGGCAATACTCGAAACAGCGTTGTATGGTCAGCCAAATTTCAATAAATTAAATAAAAGGTTTTTGTTAGTTGTTGCTGTGGTGACAAAGAAGCCACATATGTATATTTAAAGAGGGTTCTCGAATAGCAAAGAAAGAAAGGACAAACACAAGAAATTTATTTAATGTTATTGAAATTTGGCTGACCGCATTATTGAAATTTGTCAAGTACTCATCATCAGTGGTCCTAGGAAATAATCGAATTTTAATTAGTTTATAGTCCATATATAATTTGTTTGCACAAACTTCTAATGCTCTAGTTCCAGGTTTTTTGTTATTTTTTTATTTAATTAATGACATTAACCAAAGCACTTACCGTGTTTTTAAATTAGAACGAGTTTATAAACTACAGCTTAATTTGGAAACACAAATTTCTAACGACCCAATTTTCCCGCACGAAAATTAGGGTTACAGCATACTACGCGGCCCTGCCTTATTTGTGGAATTAACAAGCATGAGCACACCAATAAGCAGTCAAAAACAATTTTTTTTTTTTTAAATAAAAATTTTGCACAAGCCGTAAACAGGCAAAAACAATGTTTCAAATAAAATCTGCACAAGCAATACACAGCCAAAAACAATGTTACAAATAAAATTCGCACAAGCAGTAAATAACCGAAAATAATGTTTGCACAAAAAAAAGAAGTGCATCACTACAGCAAGCATGGCGATAACGGGACTAAAAGCGTCACCAAGTTCAGATAAAAGGACATGTCTTCGTAAAATCGTTCTCTTTTTTACTAGCAATATCGGAGGATCAACAAGGTAAGGTTACCAATCTAGGAGCTTTAATACTTACTAGATGGAGACAACACGGCATGGTAGGCTTTAACAGTACACAATGTTAATGCTCTCTAGGTAACCAAAATTTGCATCTTCACAGTTGTACTTCGTTCCGAAGGACGAAGTTCGCGTCATATGAGCTGACAATGTTTTAATATCGCTCAGCGGGAAAAATAAAATAAATTATAATTGTGTCTCTTTATAACGAAAATTGTGTTTATATAACGAAAATGTGTTCGCGTAATCGCTGTAAAACTTTATAAACTCATCGTACTTAATACTGCCGCGCAAAAATATATAAATAATAAGACTAATGATCGTGTTAAATGATTAGACGATGTTAAATGTAGCCCAGGGGAAATACTGTGAAGAAAGCTACTTCGCGTGTAAACATATTATTAGTTAGTTCTTTATTTTTACCACTCATCTCTTTATTATTTATATGTTAAATCTAAGATTGTAATGTGAAAAACTGAAAAGCCCAAATATATCCAAACATAAGAATTAAATTGAACAAGATGTGCTTCTAAATTAATTTGACCTAACAAGAAAAGCAACAGTCACTGATTCGGAGAACCAACC